GTTTTCCCTATTACCATTCACATCTCGAACTCACTAGTTGTTATTGTGAAAACAAACAGTTGTCCCTATTACCATTCGCATCTCGAACTCACTAGTTGTTATTGTGAAAATAAACAGTTGTCCCTATTACCATTCGCATCTCGAACTCACTAGTTGTTATTGTGAAAATAAACAGTTTTCCCTATTACCATTCACATCTCGAACTCACTAGTTGTTATTGTGAAAATAAACAGTTTTCCCTATTGCCATTCACATGTCGAACTCACTAGTTATTATTGTGAACAGAAACAGTTTTCCCTATTGCCATTCACATGTTGAACTCATTAGTTATTATTGTGAACAGAAACAGTTTTCCCTATTACCATTCACATCTCGAACTCACTAGTTGTTATTGTGAACAGAAACATTGTTTGAGGTGTTTCTCATTATTGTATAAATGGATTAAACAGTTTACTCGCTTATGAAATTAGGAACTTCATATATAATAAATTATTTAATACATATTGTAATATTTTTTTCAAATAATCTCCCTCTTCAACATGCCTTAAGTGTGATAAAGCTTGTTTTTATATTTCCAGCGTAAAGGTACTTTAGCTTATACGACATTATCACTGAAGGTTTGGCATGATTTTAAACATTTTCTTTTTAACGTTATAAAGATGTAGACCAAAGTTTTCGAGCCTAGGTTACAGTCTTAAAATGTTAAAAGTAAACTCACAGATACTAAAGTCAACAAAAGTAACTTTAGAGGAAGACAGCATTACATTAAAACATTCTTAACAATAATTTTAAGGTTGAATTAAGAACTGTTTTAATTTATTTCGATAACTACTTTAATTTTTGAAAAACATAATCATTATCGTTGACTTTTAAACCCTTCCTGTTCGCGAAAGAATATATAATGGCCTTGTTAGAAGATTACACACATTGCCATCCTAACCTCGTAGTTCATAAACTTTCCGATAGGGGAAAGTGTTACTTTCTTCAAAACTTTATTGTAATTTCATCCTTGTTCCTCGGTGAGACAGCGGTAAGTTTACGAACTTGCAACGCTAAAATCCGGGTTCGATTTCCCGCGGTGCACACAGCAGATAGTCCAATGTGGCATTGCTTTAAAACAAACAAACAAAACTGTTCCTTGTAAGCCTAAAAACTACAGATTGTATAATGCTAGTTCTCAGTTCCTTAGTTGTTATCATTATATGTATATTTGAAGTTAAATCACTGACTGCATGTTAATTAACAATAGTTTCTGACCAAAGCGATCTACCTACAGAGATCAGAACTGAAAATCAACTCGGTAATCTATTATAATAATACTTAGTTTTTGTCTGTCCTGAAAATGGGAACATAACTATCTAAATACGCATGCGAGCGCACTTTAGTTCAACGGAAGTAAACAAAAGGCGGATGTAAAAATATACTTTAGTGTACATTTTACGCAAAAACATATTATAAGTTTACCAAAGTTTTAAAAAAGGTCTAGCTTTAGTTCGTAGAATAACATTGTGAGTTTATTTATTGATAGTATTAAGTACGGTAAAATTTAGCCCTAACTAAACTAAAGAAAAATTCGTGCACAAGTTACAGTATTAATTTATCTCTTTATAGGCCGTACTTAATAAAGGTTTAACTAATATTAGCCTAAGACAAATGTACTTATAAATTTGAGGTGTCTGCGATTAGAATCATTTTGTAATATTCTAGAAATCCTGTATTTAAAGAACTGTTGCAATAAAGAAACTAATTTGACCATAAATATTTTTATGCGCTGTGCCAAACACGGGTATTAAAACCTGGATTTTAGTATTATAAGTCTTCAAACTTTTCGCTGAACCACTAGGGGGGGGGATAATATATTTTTGTATAAAGTCGAACATGTTTACTCAGATTGACTATTAATTATTCAAAATATCTACAAGACTTAAGATGAAACACTTAAAATAAGAATGCGCTGAGTTTTTCCAAAGTGAGAGATTGTAAAACTCAACGTTACATAAAGGGATTGAGGGTTCGATGATTTTTAGACTTTCTTTTTTTTACTTGACAGACATGACTCTTGACGCTTTTTTCATACTTAAAATGTTTATTTATGTATTTTTAGCCAGATGTCGTAAAATATCTTGGCTGTGTACAACGTCATCTCATTTGTGAAATTATCCTTTATTTCAAATGACATGGGGATCAACAACATGCTTGGCAGACGTACAACTGATACCCCCCCACAGTACACTTAGGAGGTATGTATTTTAGATGGAAAGCAAATAATTAGACACAGTAATAAATTAATTAGCACATGAAAACTGACTCATTTAAAGTAATTGACTGCGGTGTCATATATATATAATCCTCTAATTTGTTTTAATATAATATTTGTTCGTTATGGAGATAACAAGACTGATATAATAACGAACTTGGATACCGAAAGTAGAGAAATGTTATATAATTAAACTGACAATTATCTGTACCACAAGAACCTTGAAATAGATCTAATTATAAACAGGGGGAAAAATTTAACTGTATGCTAACTACTTATCAAATAATCTAAAAATATGTTCGTATCACGTTGAGCGAATGCCTCAAACTTTAATTAGTGTTTTAAAACACGAAGGATAAGTAACTGAATCACGAGCACGTCGAATTTCTTGCAACTTGGATTATAAACTTTCATTAGAAACAAATGATATTGAGATACATGCAAAACACAGTACAGCTAAATGATTGTTAGGAATTTAATGTTTGAGTTTGGTTGTTGTTAAGCGCAGAGCTACACAATAAGCTACTTATGTTCTACCCACGACGGGTATCGAAGGCCCATTTTTAGCGTTGTAAATTTGTAGAATTGTCGCTAAGCCACTGGGGAGGGAATCCAGTGTTATTGATCAAAGTGCAGAGATTTCATGTTGATTATTGTGCACATAATTGCATTGACACTTTTTAAACGCTCCCAGTGGCTCAACGGTAAGTTTGAAGGCTTATAACATTAAAAACCGGGTTTCGATACCCGTGGTGGACACAGCACAGAGAACACAACAACAACCAAACAAAACTTCTCTAAATCTATAATTGAACCTTATGCATAATTATGGATGATGATTACAGTGTTTAAGCATCAGATCCTTAGCTGATTCCTAAAACGGTTTGGTAGTCCTGTCAGGCTTAGTGGTTTTTCTTGAGTATTAACTACTTCGTTACTTTACCGCTTAGTTGAAATACTAATTTCTTTTAAGATTGGTCCGGTTTATTATCAACAGCACTTTTAGATACTATTCGGATACAAATAATTATAATGTTCTCGTGGTACTGAATCTTAACAGCCAAGAAAAACTATTTATTTGTTGAATTTCACACAAAAACTACTCGAGGGCTGTCTACACTAGCCATTCTTAATTTACAAATGATAGTCTAAAAGGAAGACAGATCGTTAACACCATCCACCTACCTTCTACTCTCGGGATACTCTAATGGAATAGTGAGACTGATCGTCACATTATAACGCTCCCATAACTAAAAGGGCAAGTGTGTTTGATGAATGGATTCGAATCCGCGACCCACAAGTTGCGAGACGAGCCACCTAACACCAACCTAGTAAAAACTGAAAACTGTAATAAGTACAGTTAGAAAAATTCTTTATCAACACCTACAATATCTTAACCTTAAGAGATTTTCTCAGCTTACATATTTTCTGAGTAAATAACCAAACGTAGACCTAAGATAGGAAACCTTTAAACTGTTAAATATCTTAATGTGATGTAATTTAAAGATATACTTCAGACAATAAATCAATATTAGAGCCTTGTTGCTCATCACCTGGGATCTCAGTACACAAATGGTAATCTTCCCTATAATTATTAATAACATTTCTATTTTGTTCCTTATTTCATTAATCTTAGGATATATATCTATGACTGAACGACCCGCGATGTTAAGATATCTCTCAGGAAAAGTTCTATCTGTTCAGCATACCTTTTCAGGAAGGGGAGGAGAAGATCCTAGCGATTGCAGCTTTGGCCTTAAATTCCTGTAGACAGGAAGGCCTGGAGTACCTTCAGCATATCAAGATTAGGTTCAACAAATTGTAAGGACTGGACATTCTTAAAGGACATTGATGACATTATATATATAGTAGTAGTTTGCTGACATTCCAAAGATGGTAAAGAAATTACAATTTGAGGAGCTGCTTTTCGAAGATCGCGACCACAGGACATTCATCTTTTATTGATGTCAAACGCTATTGGAGACACACGTAATGAGGAAATCCTCAGTAGTGTTTTGAATTCTTTAAGATGAGTTATTGTTCACAAAGTTCTATTTAACATACCTTGAATCAGAGAATTTTGGTGGTCTCGTCAATCAAGGAATATCAGCTATTATGCGAATCTCCACTGGAAAGAATGGATTACCTGAATCAACTAGGATGTCCAAATTGAAGTTCAATACACCACACCACATAAAGCAATTTAAAGTCAAGTGTACAAGGGCACGTTCTCTAAATGGTTTATCTCTCTGTTATCTAAACCATTTGTATGCATTTCTGTTTCCATTGAGGACTTCCTTTTGATGCCAAGCTCCATCTGGGGGAAAGCAAATTCCTGTGGTGTCTAAGACAAAGTTCTTTGGACTTCTCTTTAACAATAAGCTGCCTTTCATCCCTCTTCTTTGGTCATACTTTTCTTATAACATTTCGATTATAAAGATTATATACTCAGGTAAACTTGTACAGAATATTTCATGTTTTCTTAGTTTAACATAATTAAAGATCTTGTGAGCATCTCCATCAATACTCAACCCCCAGTAGCTCAGCAGTAAGTTTGTATGCTTATAACGCTAAAACCGGGTACCCGTGGTAGATACAGCACAGATAGCCCATTCTGTAGCTTTGTATTTAACAACGAAACAAGCCATCAACGCTCAAGAAAGCGTATAGATGGTTTTCCTGCTGTGCAATGAGATAAATCATGAAGCATATATTTCTTGAATTTTATGCCAAATTTTAATGTTCTAGGATTAGATATCAACTTCTTATAATTTTATGTGTTTAATCTATTGCTAGATGTCAAAAACATGGTTTTATATTCTACTTATGACATCACTTTGTTACGATTGTTTTTATGCCACTTTGTTGTGAATTAGGCTGTACTCGCATTTGATTTCCTTTAAACTGTATTAAGATTATACTTATTTCTATCAGGAACTGACTCATACCAAATATGAACGCAACAAATTGCTGTTTATTATTGTATCAATAGCACATAAAAATTAGGTTTCTTTCTTATTGGCAGTATTTTACTTTTTCCTCGCCTCCCTCGGTTTATCCATTCACTCTTTTTTTTAAAAAAACACCTATCTTTCATATTTTGTTCTCAAAATATCACTAACAGGTCCTTTCTGTCTGATCTTGCACACTTGTTTTCCGTAATTAGTATTTTAGTACCCATGATCGTAAAGGGTTTCACGAACCCCACAGCGGCTAAACAAGAAAGGTAGTCGATTCCTCTAACCACTTAGTTCCTTATTCTCCTAATTCTTTGGGGACTGACCAAAAGTCGACTAATTTCTCACTTCTCTCGACCATAACCGATCCTTAAACCAAATTTCATAACATTTATACGTTTGTTTCATTAGCTAAACGTCTGAAGTTATTTCAAGAAGTGGCATCAAATCACATCTTATTAAACAGGACATGAACAGAATTTATTACGAATTACATATGCATAATAAAGAAACTAGAGATTTTTGAAAATATTGTTTTTTGTTTTAATTCCGGTATTACGATAAAATTAGGCTTAGCTTTACAGTATTTCTGTTTATCATTGCGTAAACCAAAATAACATATGTTTATACATTACAGCCATTCCAAATTTGTTTTCATTAAGGCAGAAACATTGCCAAAGGTACTTATATTTGGAAATCTTACGCCTTTCTTAATTAACGGTTTTCTTATTGAGTTAGAGACAGATAAAACGCGTATTTCAATGTTCTTTGGTAATTGAAAAGTGCTTGTAAATGAATTATCTCAGCGGTATCTCATCTTTAACGTTATAAAGCCACAAGATGCTAGGATGTAAATCAACAGATTTGTTACTCTAGCTTATCCTCCTGTTTTGATCTTTAACGTTATAAAACCACAATATACTAGGATGTAAATCCACAGATTCGTTACTCTAGCTTATCCTCATGTTTTGATCGAAATGCTACTGTAGGTTAAAGCAATAAACAGCACTCAGCCATAACCTGTTATTCTATTGTCCTCAGCACCGGGAGTTGGGTTATTTCTTTCCTCTCAGAAGCTTTAGTCGGAATCTACAAAACAACGACCCGATTCAATTAGTGTGTCGCCAGGGGAGGCTATTGTCTTCCTCTCTGTGTTCGTAGAAGGGCTGCAATAGAATTAGCCACCCAAAAAGTTGCTGAGAAACGTTGTTACGCGCACTACTGGTGGCTAGCTGAAGTTTTCCCTTGTAAACTGTTTTAGTACATAAGCATTGTTCCGACGAAAAGTTCTTCCTTGACCTCGTAATCGTATTGTGGACCGTTCGGTAATTAATGACCCTCGTTAGCTTGGCAAACGGTGGAGAGCCACAACCTCGAGGGACTCGTGACTGTTTCCTGCAGACGGGGTGATGCTGTTGGCGAGACTGCGTGTGTCACGTTCTTCCTACCGCATGCTTGTCGTGAACGCGCGAGCTCCTAGCCTCAAGTTAATCCCGAACAAACGCTTGTTAGCTCAGTGGAACCAACCAGTAAGCGCTTGATGAAACTGACCACGCAAGTGACCAACTAGTGGACACCCGGCTTTTAACTTGATTGGAAGTCACGAGCTGTTGAAGTGTTACACAAGTCTCTGGCTGAACTCACAAAAAAAAAATGTTTTCTAAACTTCAACAGTACTAAAACATACAATCGCAGTAAAAAAGTATGTTAAGTACAGCCAATAAACCAACGAATTTCAGATACTGTTGAAGATATTTAATTATCACAATATGGCGAAATACATTTACTATCCCACAATGCACCGCCACTGTATAGCTTGTGTTCAAATAACGAACTAGTTCGTAGTAAGGATTCTAGGATGTTATATGGATGCTATTGGCTGTTTTGGTGTTTATAATCTAACATCACGTATGCTCATTAAGCCACATAGCTGATGTGCTAATGTGGTAGTTTTATGTCTAAAAGTCTTTACGACAAGTTGTTATTGATGACTGTTTATGGAGACAGCCAGAGTTCTGTGACAAGC